ACACACACACACACACACACACACACACACACACCACACACCTCGCACGTGTGTCACCTCCCCACCTCTCCCTCTGCCAGCTCAGCCACAGGCTGACTTGTCACTGGCTCCCTATTCCGAGGCGGTCCCTAATCTGGCTCCACAGCTGCGCTCACACATGGCAAACGCACTGGTTAATACCCGCCTTCGCAGTGTGTGATGGCTAAAAATACACTCAGCGCGCGCTGTCCTTCCCTTCAAACACCAGCGACACGGGGAACGGCTCGGAGCCCAGCCCAGCCCTCCTCGGGGTTGGAAATGCAGGCTGGGTTCTGGTCCTTAAACAGCGCTCCCAACAAATGACTCCTTCTCCTAGTCGTGTAGTTTCCACCCCTTGATCAGAACCCGTCATGGAAAAGTGCGCCCAGAGCCCTATAATCGCTGGGCCACCAGTCACACAATCAGCTGGGTCTTTCTTTATCGGTGGAGGTGGGAGAGAGGAGACAGGAAGGGGTGCCTCACCGCAACCGGGGGCGAGGGACGAGGGGCGAGGGGCGAGGGGGGCGGCCGCTGGCCTGGGCTCTCCATCCCTGGGGGCACACGGGGCAGGCAGTGCCGAAGGGGTGAGGTGGGCAGGGTACTCACCGGGGGTCCGTCAGCACCGGGCATTCCTGGCAGGCCTGGTTTCCCCAGGGGACCCTAGAACAAACCAGAGACCCCCTGAGCCCTGGGGCCACCTCTTCCCTAGGCCGACCCCAAGGGCACTTCCCGACATTTCCGCTCAAAGAACATTTGTTGAAAGGGATGCTCAGAGGCACTGAACGCCCCCTGGCACGGGAGCTTCCGGCAACTGAACCCCCCCAAAGGAGAGGACCCTCCCCCTCTGCTGCTTCCTGGGCCCGCGGTCTTGCCAGTGGAACAAAATCATCCCACGTGGAGGCAGGAGGGCTTCTCAGCTGGTGCCCAGGTGTGAGAACCAGGTGTGAGGACCACACCTCGGAGGTGGCCCCGCCGTCAGCGGAGGGCCTGCGCTCGCGCAAAGATCTGGGGGTTGAGCACGAGCTCGGCAGGTGCTCCGGTGGCCCCGCTCTCCCCCAGCACCTAGGACTCAGCGGGGGCCCGGATGCAGATGGGGGGTGGGGGGCGGTTTGCCAGATTTAGCAAGAACAACACGGAAAGCAAACAACAACAAAACAAGTCTTCAGGCTGACAACAAACAGTCAAATTTGACCGGGCGCCCTTTCTGGTCCTGAATCCGGCAACCCTCCGCACCGCTAGACAACGGACGGATGAGTGAATGAATGAACTTATGACCAGTGACGGACAAAGGTCCCCGATCTCCCCCCGGTCTCCTTTCCCGCGTGCGCAGGGCCCTGAGCTTCCCTGGCTCTGGGAAAAGAACAGAATCACGCACAAGCTGGGGATGGACCGCCACTTCCGCGGCCTGGGCTGCGGTGGAGGGAGCTCCCCAGGGGCCGGAACGCACCCCGTGGGCAGGTGGGGGCGTCCCTATATCTGCACAGCCACTCACCTTTTCCCCTGGAGGACCGATTGCACCCTGGGGGCCTGGGAGACCCTAGGAGAGGAAGGCAAGGTCAGGGAACTGGCCGGCTCCAGGCTCCGCCCTGCCACCCGCCCACCTTCCCTGCACCCTCTCCCTCATCTGGGATGACTCCGTTCTAGGTCACACGTAGGCTGCCGGTCCCTTGGGGCCCAGGAGACGCCACCGAGACCCGCACCCTCCCCCCCACCCCCGCTGGCCGCTGCTCACTCACCTGGGCACCTGGATTGCCCTGCTGTCCCGGGGGGCCGGGCTCCCCCTGGGGGCCCTAGAGGAAACACAAGCAAGGCACTGATGGGGACTCTGGAGGGCAGGCAGGTGCCCAACACCAGCGTCAGAAGAGGATGCCCAGACGGGAAGAAGCAGGCGGCCCCGTGGCAGAGACGAAGCGGGTCTGGGCACCTGCAAGGATCCCCACGCTGACCCGGACGTGAGGGGCACCCAGTCGTCTCTGCCGGGACACCCAGACAGCCGCCAGGAAGGAGCGACCATGAAAGGAAGCGACCAGAAAGTACTCTACTTGGTGGAAAACTTCCAAGACGTCGCACTAAAGTCTCCCAGTAGGGCCAGGGGACCTATCTTTCGCTGGGCCTGGCTTACAGTAAGTGCTCGTCACCGGAGCACAGGTCAGGGAGACAGACAGCTCCCTCCGCACCTGCACAGACACGGTCTGGCTCCGGTCGGAATAAGCACGGCCGCCAGCTCTCCCACTCAGACTCCACCTGGACCCAGGGCTCAGGGCCTGTGCCCTCCACCTCACATCCCCTTCCGGTTTGACGGTAGTAACAGTGGGCATCAGACCCCCAAGACCTACCACATTTCCTTTCGGACCTGGTTGGCCATCCATACCCGTCACACCCTGGATGGCGTTGGAAAGAAAATAACAGAGTGCTGAAGAATCAACCACAGTCACAGGGAAAATCCCACCCAACTCTGCTCGGCGTCCTGCCCTCACCGTGCCGGGGGGCGGCAAACCTACTGGGGAGGGGCAGGGGTTGATATTAAAGAATCCTGCAGGCTCGATCGGCCAGGGGTCGATGGAGCTGTCGGGCCCGAGCATCGGGTGGGCCAGGCCCGGAGAAGCCACCCACCGGGACAGGGCCCCGACAGAACCATGGGCTACCCGCTTCCAGAACTTTCCAGAAGTTGCTTAGAGTGCCTTCAAAGGAGAAAATGAGGCATCCTGGGGACCGTTTAAAACAGTACATGTCGCGTGAGAAGGAGAAGCTGTACGGCCCGCTGGCCTCTGTGCCTCCTCCCGCAAACCCACGCCTGTGGAGGGCTCTGTCTGCCTAGGAGCCTCAGAGCCCCGGCGACACCTCGACCAGCCCCGGGCAAGTGTCCGAGCGGGACAGACGTGCAGAGGTGACAGGCCTTACCGGAGGTCCAGGAGGGCCCGGGGGCCCCTTTGGCCCCAACAGACCACGCGGCCCCTGCAAGAGGAAAAGGCAAAGGACTGTTCACACTTGGCCAAGAACCCGGCGCCAGCCCTGCCCCAGGCAAACCCCGCAGCCCCACCCCCACCCCCAGAGTGTTTGCAGCAACGCAGGTGTCCACGCGTCCCGGGAAGCATGGGCAGCACCCGTCCTCGCCCGCGACACCTCCTCAGCCGCCCCACCTCTCCACCAGCTCTGGGAAGCAGGGGCGGGTGCATGGAATGAACCGGCAGCTTAGACAAGGGATCAAGGGGCACCTTCAGAGCAAAGGGAACCTTTCAGCTCAATGGCGCCCTTTCACACTCGCTCGGGACAGGTGCACACAAAAGCTCTCCCAGCGGAGGCCACGGAGATACTCCACTGCATGGAACGCTTTTGTCCACGTCTCGTCACTGGCTCCCTCTGCGCAGTGACATGTGACTGCATTTCTGCCACCGGAGGGTGGAGGGAGGAGAAACTAGTTCTCTGATGGGGACGTCGTGACCAAAGGCAGAGCTGAAGCACGGGGCTCGGGGTTTATTTCTGGGGCGCCACTAAGGCCCAGAGCTCAACCCCTCCCCCCTCTGCAGCAAAGGGCACGTGTGGGGACGGCCCATGTGCACATGGAGGGACACAGCCCCAAGGCAGCGCCATTCCCAGCACGGTTCACGAGATTCAGAAGGTAACACAGCAGAGGCATCGCCCGTCACCCAAAGGAGCCCCATCCTGAACCTCACGCTTGCCCCACTCCTGGGGGGATTTTCCAGCCTTTAACCAAGGCACGAGTGCCCTGAATTCTGACGGAAACTCCTGAGACTCAGCGGGAGAGGGCTCCTTCCCACACTCAGTGCCACTTAACTATCCCTGTCGTTATTTAAAAACCTAGAAAATGCTTTCTAGAAGTTACTAACCCGCAAGGTGACGCTTCGGCGTGTGTTAAGGAGGGGACTGCGTAATGGATTCTCCTTAGAGGCGAATCAGGCATCCAGGGCATAACTTAGTCCCCGGTGAATGTGTGAGCCCAAGCCCAGGCTCTCTCCGCGTACCGCTTGCAAGGTTTCCCCTCAATTAACGTCGCCAGATGCATACCGCCGTGGCGACGCGGGCAACAAAAATGAGCCATTTCAGAAGTAACCACAGGTGAGATGTAAACGGTGTCCTTTGTCACTGAGGAAGTTTGCTTGGGCCCTAAGAGAAGTCGGCTTCGGGAAAAGAGCCGTTTGCTGCCATGGCAGGGCCACCCTGATGCAAGGCTCCACTTTGGGGAAGTGTAGACATCAGAAGGGATGGTAAACCGTCTGATTAGTCACCACAACTGCTGCTGGGCACTTGCCTGGTGCACTCTGGGCGTCCACTATGCCTACATCCTGGACACCCACCATGATGGCCCTGCACATCCACCATCATGGCCTTGGACACCCG